AAATGAGCTTAATTTAATTTGAAAAGTTAATAATCCAATTTTTATTTTTTTACCAAAAATGAGCATAATATGAAATAGTAGACGTAATAATGTAACAAAAGAAAACAAAGAGCCGTATTTCGCTGTAATTGGTTTATTGTTCAGAATACGAACATCCAAATGGAATCACGATAAAATATTTAGGTCGACCTGCATTGACTCATTTTTAGTTATGAATAAAATGATAATTTACTAAAGATACAAATACAGTTAAACCTTCTATAACGCGGTGAGTGCGTACCGCGTTGTATGGAAACCGTGCTATAAGAAACTCAGATTTAACCGTACAAACCAGGCTAATTCGTAGCGTGTTCTATGGAAATCGTCCACCGCGTAGTATGGAAACCGCGCTATAAGAAACTCGGAATTAGTACAAATCACATCATTCGTACCGCGTTATAAATTATTTTTATTGAATTGAATTGAAAAGTTCATATAAGGATTGATAAAAAAAAAATGAAACAAGAACTAAACTAAAAGACTGTTTTTCAACAAAAACAATGAAGACTTTTGTAAAATTATGTAATCTTTCAACACGCATCCTCGCTGTCAGATATGAGTCGCCTAACTCGTCTTCTTTTAATGGGCAAAATGTCTTCATCACTTAGTTCATCTTCACATTGGTTTTCATTGTAGTTTTTTTTTTCTAACTCCACTTAAACCTCTAAAACCCCTTAAAAGCTAAGCAATTTCTTAACTCTTTTTTAAACTTTACCCTGCGCACCGTTGAACGATGAGTTTGAATGAAATGAAGTTCTAATTCTTTAGCCAAATTTAGCCCTTTTTTCACATCTTCTAAATCGAGATTTGGTACTCATTCGTTTTCCTTATTTTTGTTTACCAGTGCATTTGAGGTGGATGCATCAATTAATTCCATCAGTTCTTCCTCATCTAGTTACTAGAGTTATTCATACCGCGCTGTAAGAGTACCGCGTTATAGGAGGGCTGTCGCAATTTCAGCCCCGCGTTATATGAAAACTGCGTTCTGAAAATATCGCGTTATAGGAGGGTTGACTGTATACCACAATTGTCTTATTATTTTTAAATTATAACAAATTAATGAGCTTAATTTAATTTTAAAAGTGAATAATCAAATTAACTCTGAAAACAATTTTTATTTTCGTACCAAAAATGAGCATAATATAAAATAGTGCTTAGTGGACGTAATAATGTAACAAAACAAATGAGTATATAAAAGAAAACAAAAAGTGAAAACCAATTGTAGTTGAATTGGAAATATTTCTTGCAGCGTTTGGGATTAAATTTGGAAATGTTGGTTTTAATTGCGCCTAGCAAATTAATCCTTATTTCCACTTGTCCCGGATTCCCGAAGGGCAATACAAACTCGCGCAATTAATTTCGATTCCCCCCTTCCCTCTTAAATAATGTACCAATTTAATGTATTCATCCTCTCGAATGAAGGAAACAAAAAAAATACTACTAATTAGTTTTAGTTTCGATGTTGTTGCAGTGAAACAATCAAATTTGTATTTATTAAATGCAGCACGAGTCCCCAATTACGAGAGTAATCAACAAGTGAAACCGGTGCGCAGAACGTATATTTATTAATTAATGCTCCGGACTGATTGATTCGTTATTCGATTAAAATTTAATATAATGGAATGCAATTTTTTGTTTTTTGTTTTTGTTTTCCGTCAATTTGAGAGTCGATTGCGATGATTCAAATACACGGTGTAGTTATCCATTTAATGGAAAATTAGTGTGTAAGTGCTCTTGCTATGTCGACACAAATGCGAACGCGTTTCCTATTAGAACGCATTTACTTAGAAGCCTGTGCTCGATCTATCAAGAAAATTGAATTATCTGAAGACTGAAAACTTAAATTATCCATAAAATTTTAAATTCAGTAAATTTGTCAATTGTTTTACACTACTTCTACTTAGTTTCATCTGAAATTTCATTTTTTTATAGAAATCTTAAAATTTACTAAAACAAAAATCATTTAAATTAAATGAAGCCAATGAGAATAGTAATTAATAAATTTTAAATAATTTAAACTATTTGCCTCTTTGTAATGTAGGCAACCAAAGATACTTGTAAACGCTCAATCTTTTCATTATTTTTTTTTTAATTTACATTTATTTACTATAAATATTACACTCTTCATATTAACATTTATAGAAAAAAATATGATTAAGTTTAAGATTCTTGTGCTTTATATCAATTTTCTAATCATAAAAGCAAAAGCTAATATATCCATTTAAATCAATTAATTACTAATAGTATTGATTATAAGTTTAATTTATTTTATCATTTACACTTAGTTTCAAACAATGGATACAATAGACGTGATTATGCGTATTTTTTTTTAAATAAAATACAATATATTTTGAATGATAAAAAGATTTTTTAAGCGTTTATTGTTATTTATTAGTTTATCATGAGTTTAATAATTGTAGTGCTTTTGTTTATAAATTTGAATGAAAGTAAAAGAAGTTTGGTTTTGATTACATCAGTCTTTTAGAATTTATGCAACCAAGAATACGTACATGTATTCAAATGCGTAAGTTAATTTATACATAATCTATGAATATTCTAACTATTTTGGTTATCTTTACATATTAGAAGATGTAAAATAAATTGTTTATTTGTTTGAAAATTTGTATTCAGTGGAAATTGTTTATATTTATTTTAATTTTCAGGAGCGTACAGCAAATGCAAGTACAAGTATTCCGGGAAGCATTCTGAAGGAAACAGGTTCATCTCCAATAAGGACCTCTGAGATCTCTAATAATTGAATGAGAAAGTGCATATGAATACATATATAAATAAAAAGAAGAGATTCCAATTGGAATCCATCATCCTATGATCCCTGACATTTGAAAACATCAGAGATCGCAACTGAAATTAGTCACATAAGATGAGGACGTCGTCATCTCTTCGTTGATAATTGTAAAGATTGGAAATAAATCTTATTTATTTGTATTACGCAAACGGTTGGCTCCTTTTGCTTGGTGTTTTATTTTACATTGTGTAATCCGTTGCGCACTTTCACCTAAAGATCTGGTGCAATTTGATATTGATGTGTTGGTATTGCATAGTAAACGTTTTCATTCATGTTCCTGGACGTTTTATTAGATATGTAGTGGTGTGTTAATTGTTGATATCATATGTGGGCTTGGTCTTTGATGATACTGTATCATTTTTGTTTTGTTTGGAAGAGCAAGAAATCGCTGGACGTTCGAGTGATGATGTGCTGATGGAAGTGAGCAATTAAGTATTATTACCATGGGTGAGTGTTCCATTTCCTGGTGCTGGGTGAATGTATGCCTTGAGGATAAGAACCCTTCTTCTCACAGGTTAAAGTTGTAGCAACAAGGGAATGTTTTGTATTGGAATTCCAATTGGATTGAGGATATTGCATGTAATCAATTAATTATCTTCTAGCAATCTAATCTTATCTCTTTTAATTTGTGTTGTCTGAGTATTAATAGATAATGGTTGCTGTGTTTTAGAGGCTATTGTGGAACATGATTATGTTGCTAAAGAACCAGATGAGCTGACCATAAAGCAGGGTGATATAATCAGGGATGTGATAAATAAGCAGGCCGGCTGGTGTGAGGGTACATTAAAAGATCGGAAGGGTTTGTTTCCTGATAACTTTGTGAAGCTGATGCACAAGGTCACTATGAGGAGCAGAAAAGATGTGAGCAGGATCAGGAAGTGTCGGGTGATATTCAGTTACAAGCAGGACCACGAAGATGAGTTGAGTTTGAGTGTGGATGATGTGATTGAGATCATCGGAGAGGAGGAGGAAGGCTGGTGGCGGGGGACTCTGAATGGAAAGACGGGCGTGTTTCCATCGAATTTCGTTGAGGAAATCGTTCCTTCAGTCAGTCCGAAGTGTGGCAGCGTCGAGGACCTCGTTGACGCGGATATCAAGATACCATCCCTCCCACCAAAACCAAGTAAAATTCATTCATTCACTCCAATATAGCTGTTTACTAACAATTATGTTTATTGTAGCTAAAATACTGTGCGAGGTGAAGTACGCGTACAAGTCGCAAAACGACGATGAACTCTCGTTGAAGGAGGGTGATATCATCACGCTGATAAGTAAGGACGGACAGGATGCGGGCTGGTGGAGAGGAGAGTTAAACGGACGGATCGGAGTGTTCCCTGATAACTTCGTGGTAATCATTGATGAAAAACTGTCGAAGGAGGATAGGAAGTTGGCGGCGGCAACCAGCACCAACCACATCAACAAGTATATAGCTTCTGAAAGGAAATCGTTCGAAGCCAAAGTGGCGAAACCCCAGCAGGAGCCGGAGGCGAGGGCTGTACCGCCCGCGGTGCCGGGAAAGAAGCCCTCGCTGGCGATCAAGAAGTCGCCTTCCGGTTCCGGTGGAATCATATCTGGTCTTCGCAAGAAAATTAGTGATGTAGTGGACGGATCATCTGTGAGCAAGAAATCGCTGGATGTAAAGACTGAAACGACCGTGTACAAGCCGGAAGAGTCGGAGAACGCGTTCGATCAGGTGGAGCGCAACTCGATGCTGGTAGACGTTAGGGCCAACAGAGCTAAGCCACCAGGTAACAAACAATTAGTATTTAGTCACGTCAAATGTAAATATTGACTCATTTATCGTTGATTTAGTCATCTTTATTATTATTATTGATCAATAATAATTAACAATCCGCGCGCTGTAGAACGCTTTCGGTTTTGCAATACCTGCAACATGTAACCTCGGCGATATCTGTTTATTTATATGCTCCTACTTTGGCCTTGGGAGTTCAACAAATCAATAATATACAGATAGAAAGAAAAGACCGCAATATGTGTAATAATTTTCGATGTTTTATTCCATTTTTCATTTACGTAATCTTTAATGAAAACTGTAAACTAGTGTCTTGACATTTGTCGCAGGAAACCGCCATGCTTTCCCCTATGCTTAAATTAGAAAGATACTTTAATTTAATCAAATGTTAAAGGCTAATTCCAAACGACTAAAGCAATCATTATGTAAATCACATATTGATATATCATCACAATATTCGACCGATTTTTCAAATGCAACTTTCACATTTATTTAAACTTCTGTTAAAGATTATTGAAATTGTTACTTTTGCTTCACATATTGAAATTAATATCCTTTTACTTCCAATTCTGTTATTTACAGTTGTAACAGGTTTAAACTCTTTATTTATAAAGAATGATTCACGCCAGTGACGTATCTCTGTCCAATACCAACGATTCTATAATTTAATCAAATGTTAAAGGCAGCAATATCGTTGCATGTAATATTAATCTCTTGCATAACAATTAAGCTATGATATCAAAGTACCGGTTTCTGCGGTCTCTTTGTTTACTATTATCATGTTTTTTCTTTAAAAAACTGTGACTGGTTTCGGAGATTGATATTGAAATAGTGAGTGGCAACCAGTTTCTTTTTTTTAAAAATGAAACATGTATGATTGATCTGCATGACGCTTCTTTATAAATCAGGATATTGTGGTATACTTTTCCTTGTTGGAAATTAAACGGTGACCCGAGCTGACCTCACTTACTCACAACAATTTAAATGATGGCTTAATGAAGATGTTTCATTTATTTGTTTTGTATGAGACACCGTTACATTTCATTTATCCGTGTGCATGTGTCACTTGCGATATTTGTAAATTACTTGTTTATCTATGAGATATGAGTAATCAAAACAAGTGCATTATTTTCCTACTAGAAACAACTTTTTTTTTATAACGAGAAATATTTATTAATATTTTTATAATATGTCTTCAGATTTTGTGGTAGACTTTTATTCGTTACAAAAAGAACTTTGTTATATAATCTTTGCTACTTATTTAGTGCTATTTTGAGAGTACGAAATAATTGTTTGTACTACGGCTTCATCAAGGTTTTCCTCGCATTTCAGAGGGTTGTTTACTCAACTATTTATACCGCTTGCGTTTCTCATTGTGACGTGCCTTGAAATACAATTACAAAATGACAAGTTTCAATATATATTCAGGCATTTTTCGATTTGAAGGTAATTTTCAAAAACGCATTATTTTTATAAAAATTTAACTTATTTATTTGTTTTCTTTTAATGAAGTTTTAATTACTTCGTTGTGTAATGAAAACGAGATTTACGATTTCTTTTTTGTAACATTATTTTGATAAATTGTTTTCACTATATCAACTTAAAATGATAAGTTTTGTTTATTCCTGTTGATAATATTAATGGTTTTAGCTATTTATAGGCGGCCTACACTAATTATTATTTAATGTTTTTGTGTGAACGAAAACAGGTAAATCGTTGAATTTGGAGATTTTTATAGTCATCTTTTGAATCATATAGGTTACATAATTTTTATAAAATTTAATATTTTTTTTGTTGTAGGGCGTCGACCTCCAAGTGTAATTTTGAAGGACGGTGAGCAGACTATTGCAATGCAAAATGGAAATTCCGATTATGGAAGTTTGGAGGAAAATCTGTTGAATTCAAGTGGAGGAGGCATTGGTGGTGAGGATAGTGAGCTGATGAAACCGAAGGTGCCAGGATGGGATAAGCAAAAGGTGCCGTGGTTGGAAGAGATGAAGCAGAACCAGGCGAAGAGGACGTCCACGTCTCCCGGTCCTGAAACACGGAACAGACTCACAACTCCCGATAAGCTGGAGGAGAAGGAGACAAGCCCGGTGGAGATGTCGAAATCGATGCCGATGCCCACATTCACGAAGATCCTGAAAACACCACCAAGCGAAACAGACAAACGACCCGCCATCCCGACCCACCGACCTCAAAGCATAGAACCCGTCAAGCCAACAACGAAGATCTCGCCGATCGCCGCTCCCATGGCGAAAACACCATCACCTATAATCCAGAAGCCACCGATCGTCGAGAAACCATCCGAAATCAAGGACAAGGTGCCAATGAAGCAGTACAACGAATTACTGGACAGACTGCAGCATCTGGAGGCTCTCGTAGAGAAGCAGAACCAAGTCCACAAAATGGCAATAGACGATCTCCGCGGTAAACTGCAAGTAGAAACGGATATGAGGATGCTGCTGCAAGCCGAGCTCGAGAAGGTCGCCCAATGCGTATTGCAAGTCTAATGTACATAGGAAAACCAACCCGAAGACGCATTTAGGTCCCAATTAAATAGCTATTAAATAATCCAATTTGGAAAATTCTAAGCCTTAAGCGGAAGGAACGAAGCGTACTTAAAAGTCGGAGATTTCAGTTAAGTTTTTTTTCTTTATTTTTTATTCAATGAATCGCCTTTGTGAAACAGCAAGCATCACCCGACCGAAACCAAAATCATTGCTCACAATTAGTCAATTCCGCGTCGAACGCAAACAACGAGTGCAAAAATACGATCGAAACGATATAATTTCTTTTAACTATCCCAAAACCAATTTCGTTTTTAATTCGCGTTTTTCGATCGTCTTGCCCTCAGTCCAATGTGTTCCCATATTATAATTATTATTATTTTTTTTGAGTATTTACAGTTTATTCTCTTTGTATATTTTTTTTTTAAATATGTTATTCATCCAGGCTAATTACCATTTTCATGCAGGGTGTTGGAGTAAAGGAGGTACTAAAAGCATAAGATTATAAGTTTTAAAAGAAAAAGCAATTCAACTTCTCAAAAGAATAGGAAAAAAAAATAATTCTGCAAACAAAACCTAAGATTGTTGCTTTCAAACAAACGTCCAATTAATTAATTAATTTATTTTCCATTACTACGCAACATTTTCAAAACCCTGTGTTTGTTTGTTTTTCTTTTTATTTACACAAATACTTGATTTTATTAATTTATTTTTACTTTATTTTTATATATCGTTTTATGTATTATATTATATATGTATATGTTTTTTTTTTTATATAACCATTCCTCGATGTGTGCGTCTCAAAGTGCGCAGCATTGTTAATAGATGCTAGGGCTAGGTACTACTAAAAAGAAAGGAAATATGGAAAAAAATCAATATTTTAATTATTGGCTTTTATTTTATCGTCATATTTTATTTCTCCTTTTTTTTTTATAAATTTTTGTGAAACTGTTCATAATATTCCGTCTACATTCCTACTTGTAATATTTTATGTGTATACATATAGATCCAATCTAAAGAGAGCCGAGATGATTATGTGGAGTATATTATATTATAAATATATATATATATATATTTGAACAGAGTATTATTATAAATGATTGATAATAATTATTAAGATTTTTAAATGAAGTTGTTAAAAATGTTTTATTATTTTTTTTTCTTCTCTTTCTTTCTTCTTGCAAGAATGGTGGAGTGTGGAGGAGCCGCGATGGGTTTTTCTTTTATTAAAGTAAGAGAGACATTCCAATAAGATATATTAAAGTCTGCTTTTATTTGTACATATATCGTAAACACAACTTACTTGATCGACGAGAAATGATGAATATATGATGTCGAAGGATGTACTTATTATAGTTATATTGTTGGATATATTAACAATAAAACATTTAGTAAAATATCACATTTTATTTTATTTCAGGATTGTTACAACAAATTCTCTCTAAAAATATTTTAAGTTTCTACATATTTAAGAATCACTTGAATTTGCAGCTCAAAAATGTTAAGTTTTGACTAATTGAAATATAATTACCTAAACGTAAATAAGACCGGTGGCAATCGCAAGCCCGACAACCGAAATCCTGACGTTCGAAATCCCGACTATATTGAAATCCTGACAATTATAAATTTCTACAATAACATTTTTATGGTAGTCGGGATTTCGATATAGTCGGTATTTTGATTGTCGGGATTTCAATAAGACCGTCTATCAGTTGTCGGGCTTGCGATATAGACCCAAGTAAGACACGTTTTCTCGTTTCAAATCAAATTAAATACGCATTCAGGTGTCTTATAACATACAAGTTTATATGGTTGGAAATGTAATTAAATGAGCGTCAATTCTTATATGTTTTCGTAGATAAATATTTTTTATATATATTTACATTTTTATTTTCACAAATTTAGAAATGTTATACTATCAATTTCGGAGTGCCTGAAAATTTCGTCCAATTGCCAATTGGATGTTGTTAAAATTGTAGTTAGATAGAAAAATCGTTTTTTGTTAAGAACTGGAAGACTACAGAACTTTCGCGCAACTGGAATTTTACTCATGATAGAATAGAAATGGCCGGTAGTTTCTCAACCACCAATCAAAGTTTGATAATTAATTATGAAGATTATGTTGCAGCTACAAACCTATATGTATGCTCATTTTCGAAGACGTTATTTTACCATATGTCATTAGTTAAACGCCAAAGTTTGTTAATAAATTATGAAGTTGTCGTTGCAGCTACAAACCTATATTTACACTCTTTTTAATCTGTATATATTCAAGATCAACATGCATATCTAACATTCTTCTGGGATTTATTGTATACAAAAATACAGGCCATTTTCGAAAACGTTATTTTACCATATGTCATTAGTAAAATGCGAAAGTTTGTTAATTAATTATGAAGATGCCGTTGCAGCTAGAAACCAATATTTACACTCATTTTAATCTGTATATATTCAAGATCAAAATGCATATATAACATTCTTCTGGGAGCTGGTATTTAAGAAAATACAGGCCATTTTTTATGACGCTGTTTTTCAATTTGTTCATGAAAGTATAATGTATGATTGGTTGCCAGCATTTTAGGCGTAAAATGAATATATCGATTTTTGTGGTAGCTAGCGACATCTATTAGCAATATAGCAAAGGTTATAGTTCAGGCATTTTAGCGCTGTACAAAATCCACTTCTTTACAAACGTACTAATTTATATAAACAAACCTGTAAACAGAACAATTAAACGAATCTAAGATTAGTACTTTAATTTAACAAGTTATACGCTAATTAATTTTTGCTAATTATTCAAGATTAACATGCATATCCAACATTCTTCTGGGAGTTGGTGTATACGAAAATATACGCCATTTTCGTAGACATTATTTTCCCATCTGTCATTAGTTAAACGCCAAAGTTTGTTAATTAATTATGAAGATTCTGATGCACCTACAAACCTATATTTATGCTCATTCTAATCTGTGTATTTTCAAGATTAACATGCATGTCCAACATTCTTCTGGGAGTTGCTGTCTTCGAAAATACAGGTCATTTTCGAAGACGTTATTTTCCCATCTGTCATAAGTTAAACGCAAAAGTTTGTTAATTAATTATGAAAATGCCGTTACAGCTACAAACCTATATTTATGCTCATTTTAATCTGTGTATATTCAAGATTAACATGCATATCCAACATTCTTCTGGGAGTTGGTGTATACGAAAATACAGGCCATTTTCGAAGACGTTATTTTACCTTATGTCATTAGTAAAATGCGAAAGTTTGTTAACTAATTATGAAGTTGCCGTTGCAGCTACAAACTTATATTTATGCTAATTTTAATCTGTGTATTTTCAAGATTAACATGCATATCCAACATTCTTCTGGGAGTTGTTGTATACGAAAATACAGGCCATTTTCGAAGACGTTATTTTACCATATGTCATTAGTAAAATGCGATAGTTTGTTAATTAATTATGAAGATGCCGTTGGAGCTACAAACTTATATTTAAGCTCAATTTAATCTGTGTATTTTCAAGATTAACATGCATGTCCAACATTCTTCTGGGAGTTGGTGTATACGAAAATACAGGCTATTTTCGAAGACGTTATTTTACCATATGTCATTAGTTAAACGCCAAAGTTTGTTAATAAATTATAAAGATGCCGTTGCAGATACAAACCTATATTTACACTCATTTTAATCTGTATATATTCAAGATCAACATGCATATTTAACATTCTTCTGGGATTTATTGTATACAAAAATACAGGCCATTTTCGAAAACGTTATTTTACCATATGTCATCGGTAAAATGCGAAAGTTTGTTAATTAATTATGAAGATGCCGTTGCAGCTACAAACCAATATTTATACTCATTTTAATCTGTATATATTCAAGATCAACATGCATATCTAATATTCTTCTGGGAGCTGGTGTTTAAGAAAATACAGGCCATTTTTTATGACGCTGTTTTCCAACTTGTTCATTAAAGTATAATGTATGATTGGTTGCCAGCATTTTAGGCGTAAAATGAATATATCGATTTTTGTGGTAGCTAGCGACATCTATTAGCAATATAGCAAAGGTTATAGTTCAGGCATTTTAGCGCTGTACAAAATCCACTTCTTTACAAGCGTACTAATTTATATAAACAAACGTGTAAACAGAACAATTAAACGAATCTAATATTAGTACTTCAATCTAACAAGTTATACGCTAATTAATTTTCGAGTTCCATGCGTTTAAATTAAGACAGGCAGAGCCATCTGTCAGAATTTTGAAGAACTATAATTTGAATTAAGTTGCGTAAGTGAAAATCCTGCGTTAGTAAATTTCTAATACATTTATTGGATTTGGTCATTTTTCTGCAATGTTCTTAATGAAGAACTCAATTGTTTCCTTCTTTTATGCCTTTGTATGGAAAACTTTTGTATTTTGAATAAATGTTTGAGTTCAATATGTTAACATCCATCAATCATCAAAGATTGTTTCTCTTTAGTAAAGATAAAATAGAAATTGCAAGTAACTATGTTAAAGTTGTTATTGTTACTCCTGCTAGAGATATGGTTAAATTTTTAATTGCAAAAAATGAAGCGTCTGCAGTCTTCTAAATAAATATACCATTTTTCAAGAAAAAAATAATTTAAAATTAATAAAGAACTTTTGTTTCTATTTGATTCATTCTATCTTTTACAGTTTCTGAGAAAATAATCAAAATGAAAAGGCTGTGCCTTTATACCGTTATTTTTCAGTTTTGAATGCATATTACAGTCTAATGGATAAACCACATCCAATAATTGACCAAATGTTGCAATATCCAACTTCCATCTTTGATAAAATACATGCATTATAGTTTTTAGAAATCTGCATCTGACTGTTCTCTAATTCTTTGACAAGTTATCATCTGTACGCGTCCCAATCCGATCCCTTTAACCGACCCAATTTCTTTTCCGTGCTCGGATGCAAATCGCATCCCATCTGCAGATAACAGCTCCCCACCCAAAACCCCAAACCTCCCCCATCGACTCTTATTATCCTACCGCCACCGAAATGAGACTCTTTGGAAATGATACTCCCACCCCCACGCTTTTTCACTGGATTATACAGCACGAACGTGAACAGCCCACGAACCTCAACATTACGCATTGATTGATCGCAAATTAATACTGCTGGAAGCATGAGGAAATGTCGTAATCCACGTTTCAAATGCTCCAGATAAATTTTCGTATATATATCAGATGAATTACATAATACATGATAGTATTACGTAATATGTATTTTCATGTTTCGTATTAAATCGTAATCAATTACTTAACTTTCTTAAAATCCAATTAAATTTTTGTAAACATGAGACGAAGAGCGCAATATGTGTTTGAATGTTTCACTTTAAACAGAAAAAATTGCGTTGAATTATGGTGGATGCGCCGGGTTCGCGCTGAATTGATTGATTGCGTCTTTCGTTTTCCGAAATTAGATTTTTCGTTGCGCCACATTAAATTTGAGGGCAGAAGTGAAAGAGAACAAGTTAGTTTATCGCGGAAAATGCAACGCTCTGAAAAGTTTTCCAATTATTGTTTGTCGATGACGTGCGGGGGTTGTTGAAAACGGCAAAGTCTGATGACGGACCGCCGCTCTTCGGGCGAATTACCGACAGGTTAAATCTCGCTATTCGATATGATTTATTTA